TGTTTGTGCTCACCATGTTTAGTCCGTCCAGTACTTTAAAATTATGGCACAAAATGAACTTTGTAGATTTAAGGATCTATTAATGGAGCCTTATAGTTTTGTTTTATGTCATCGGCGTGGCTAAGGGGGAACCTGTTGAGACTGAAAGGAATTTGTTGACCTTTTGTATGAGGCTGGTTGAAGACAACTCGGGTCGCAAGAGTTTCCCATTTCAGGCCATTTGCTTTACGAGCTCAGGTGAACTTTGCACATACTCTGCTACAGCATAATATGGTATAATCTTCAGAGAATCAGTCGGATTTGTCTCGTATTTATGGAGGCAAGAGAAATTCCTGACATCTACACTTCAACAGAGATTGTGGAAGTCTGTTTGCAGAGCTCCACTCTTCCCAGGACTGAAACTGGTTGTTGAGATACGAACACTTCAATGAAGGATACTTGGGTGTTATGTCAAAGAGAAATGTAGTGTTATAAGCTGTACCTCTACTGTAGGGTTACTAACGTAGTTTGCTCAATCCTGTAGTTGTTACTGACCTGCAAGCAGCTGAGTGTAAACCAGCAGTGACGGCAGACTGCGAGGTCAAAGTGGGTGAAGACAGTAGTGGAAAGTGAAGCTTGTTTTGCCACTTGTTTTTAGAAGTACTTGCATACCCACACTTTTTTTTTTGTTCTATGTTTTTACCTTCAGTGCTGCTTACACTTGTCGAAAAACAATAAAACTTGAAATGATATGCCATGTATGTTTACTGTAGACTGAGACGGGGGTATTTATTTATTTATTAAGAAATTAATGGTACTGGTTCACAAAGCAGAAGGTCCTCCATCACAGCAATCATTGCACAAATCACCTTACTCTATATTGTGCATTTGTGTGGTTTAAAATCACACTGTCTAATCTCAAGAACAGATATACAGCGGCTGGCTTACAAAAAATTGTACATTCAGTTTCCAAACATCAGCTTCTTTCTAAATATACATTAAAGCCCTCAGAGCAAGTTGTTACCTCTCATTGAGACCCGGAGCTAAGGATCTGATTTTTCAAAAGGCAATTTGACCCTTCCTGCTGTTGAGGTATTCCCAGACCATTTACATTCCTATTGTCTAACCTAAACAAAAATGATAGTTTGTACAGCCAGAACCAAAGTTTTATGTCCATATGGGTATGCACTCACTGGCCACATAATTAGATACATGTATACAGTTTAGAGGTGTCTATTTTTGTCCTCCCAGCTATTTACTATGAGGATCGGAATATTGGTAACACCTAAATGGAATGTAGCCCAGTACAACACCACCTTAACTATGACCTTAGTTATAAACATGAGTTTATACATTTATGACGATCTCACCAGAAAAATATTTTGAGCTTCATAAAGACAGATGTTAAGGTGGAAGTGTTGCATTGAATTGCGTACATTTGCACAGGTGTATCTAAGAAAGTGGCCACAAGTGTATATCGGTAACTTTTTCCAGTATTTCAAAGTGTTAATATTTTTCCATTGTCAGTCAAAATAAGAGGAGAGGTGGCATTATGGAATATCTGTCCAGATCCAGATGTTTAGAAGAGAATTTAGGGAGTCTGGAACTGCCTTTAGTAGTTGATTATTGTCTTCTGGGGTTTTCAAAAAATGGGAGTAAACAATGAATTTTCTCTGTGACTGGAATGTAGCGGGTAATACCTGAGGCACAAGCTAGGAAATCTGACTTTATATATGGAAGTTATTTAAACTACCTGGATTCCAAACTACTGTATTGACTTCACATAACTTATTAATCCACAAACATTGAAGAGAAGTTATTTTAATGGCTTCGATTTATAAAACAGATCCCAGACACTTTAGTCTGGTTTCCTTACTTTGTAAACTTTATCTGAGGAGCTTTAATCTACAGCATTCATACACCTTTTATCACACTGTATTAAATCCCCCCCCCAATGTAATTTTAGGTTCAGCATTTCAAAAGTGAACCTCTGGTTTTCTTGAGTTTAATTACACATTTAATTTTTCTGACCAGCTACCACTGTAAAATTGTTTGACAGATGTGACTTCCTGATTATTTTAGAGAAAGGAAGCTACAGTGGGTACGGAAAGTATTCAGACCCCCTTAAATTTTTCACTCTTTGTTATAATGCAGCCATATGCTAAAATCATTTAAGTTCATTTTTTCCCTCATTAATGTACACACAGCACCCCATATTGACAGAAAAACACAGAATGTTTGACATTTTTGCAGATTTATTAAAAAAGAAAAACTGAAATATCACATGGTCATAAGTATTCAGACCCTTTGCTGTGACACTCATATATTTAACTTAGGTGCTGTCCATTTCTTCTGATCATCCCTGAGATGGTTCTACACCTTCATTTGAGTCCAGCTGTGTTTGATTATACTGATTGACCGTGATTAGGAAAGCCACCCACCTGTCTATATAAGACCCTACAGCTCACACTGCATGTCAGAGCAAATGAGAATCATGAGGTCAAAGGAACTGCCTGAAGAGCTCAGAGACAGAACTGTGGCAAGGCACAGATCTGGCCAAGGTTACAAAAAAAAAAATTTCTGCTGCACTTAAGGTTCCTAAGAGCACAGTCGCCTCCATAATCCTTAAATGGAAGACGTTTAAGACGACCAGACCCTTTCCTAGAGCTGGCCGTCCGGTCAAACTGAGCTATCGGGGGAGAAGAGCCTTGGTGAGAGACGTACAGAAGAACCCAAAGAAGACTAGCAAAGGGTCTGAATACTTATGACCATGTGATATTTCAGTTTTTCTTTTTTAATAAATCTGCAAAAATGTCAAAAATTCTGTGTTTTTCTGTCAATATGGGGTGCTGTGTGTACATTGAGGGGAAAAAATGAAAAATGATTTTAGCATATGGCTGCAATATAACAAAGAGTGAAACATTTAAGGGGGTCTGAATACTTTCCGTACCCACTGTAAAATTTCTGGTGAGTAATACACAGGTGCGCTACAAACAGAAGGGAGAAAATAATGGAACAGAGAAAAGTTGGGCTAGTTATCGAGGGAGAACTGGATGGAAGCTGCTGCTGTTTCTTGCTAATAAATCAGTATAAAACAAACTGACGACTGCATATTACTAATGACTAGTGATTAGCCTATTCATTGTCGCATAAGTCATGCCATGTTTGTTGGAGTGTCCAGATGGCAGAGAGCACTCAGCTGTGCAGGAACCAATCCGCTTCTTGTTAGATTGTGGAGAAATCCAGCAGCTGCAATCCAGTTTTCTTCCTGATTGCTGACACAGTCCAGTGTGACCTGAACTTGTAAAATCTCTGGCTGTAGTCGTTGGCATAGCAGCGGCTGCTCATGCTCGTGTACAGTGTACTGTTTGGAGCAGTGTCATATAAAATGTTTGCTCAGAAAGAAAGGTGAAACAATTCAGACAACCATCTATGCGTGACCATCTCATGTATGAAGTGTCGAAGTTTTTGAACAAATGATTTGAGAGGAGTTTACCTAATTAAGAAACAAAGAAGAAAAATATTTCACAGAGCTACAGGTAAATATTTTTTTAAATTGTAAATTTAAATGGTCTGTAGATTTTCATGAAAATTGATTGTCTATAAAATGTCAAAAGGTGAAAATAATTTGGGAGTCAGTTATGTCTACTTTTACTTGGAGTTAGTCTCGCCGTGGGCTTCCAGAGGAGGAGTGCAGGCAGGAGGAGATGGGGGAGAAGGCCCTCCTTCTTGCAGATCTGCAGAGTTTTCTTTGGTGGTGCTCCTCCGACTGATATTCCCACCCATCCCGAATCTCCTGATGCTGTTGCTCCGAGGGCTGGTGCTGCTGAAACCTGACTCACCTGGGAACATCCGACACATCAGGAGGAAGAGAGAGAGAGAGAGGAGGAAGAGGAGAGTCAGAAAGAGATGAAGGGCAGAGAGCAGCGAGAACTTGGTGTCTTAATGCAAAGCAAATGCAGGACAAAAGTAGAAGCCCCTGAAATCTTTCAACAGGTGTGAACCAGAGGGATTAGGATAGCAATGAAGTAAAAAGCTTGTTCAGGAAGAGGAGTATTCCCTGAAAGCCCAGAGGACAGTTTGCAGATCAGTAGTGTCTGAGGATGGGTGTGAAACAGGAGCAGCCAGACAGGAGGAGCATAAGGAAATTTAGTCACAAATGATCTTGTTCCTCTTATCTTAAGCACCAAGAGTTTCATTATATATCATTAGGATTAAAGAACCGTTCTCTGTTTAAATTGTTTGTTACTGCAGATGGAACTGACGTCTTAATTTACTTAAAATAAACAGATGAATGGGAAAATCTGCCCAGATTCCCACTGGTCTTTTGCAGTGGGACCCATCATTTTACTGCACCGACCTGTTTTCAAATTCTCTGTTGTCCCAGACCAGATTACTAAAAAAGAAAACATTTCAGAGAATTGTACCACTTGGAATATTTAATTGATTAATCACTCTTGGATAGTTTAATTCTCCGTCTAAAGGTAGCTGGACGTTAAAATTTGCTGTAAGAATGCTAGAATGTTAAGTTCCCTGGGTAGAAGTCATTTTCTTAAAAAGAAAAAAATCTGATTCATTTGAGGCTAATTTTGACAATATTTGAGTTTAAAAAATAAAGTTAGTTTGCGTCTTTGCTACATTTCTAGGAACAGTTGAGTCTGTGCCAGAGTTCAATGGGACCCTCGCTACCTGAGTTCGGTCTTGACTGAAGACACCTCTCTACTGAGGGCATTGTTGGCCTCAGTCGCCTCATCCAACTCCCGCTGCAGTTTCTTGCGGGCTGCCGTCACACGCTGCACCTCCTCGTCCGCCTCCTCCAGCTGATGCTTCAGCTGCTTCACCCGCATGTTGCCCTTCTCCGCCTGCACATAGAGGAGAAATGGATGGGCTATTTTATTTGCAGGTTCTCTGACTGAAACCACAATAAATAATAAGTATCCATTTGGGTTTTCTAATACACTTTTCTAACACATTTGTCTAATAAAGAACAAAAATATTTACAAATGTTTGTAAATGATTATTAAATGGCATAATGTATCACACAGCATATGTTCTGAATCATCTGTAAACATTGTAGTTAATCAGTAAATGAATAAAAACTGATATAATTAAATGATTATAGTATTTATAGACAAAATATTTGTAATGTTAATATAGCATGTAATTATTTACAAACTTTTGTTAATTAAAAACAAATGCATTACAGCTGATTATTATGAAGTGTTACCCACTTTTCAGATTACAGCCTCATTACCTGATCTTTGTATTGCTGCGCCTGCTTCCTCTCATCCTCCATCTGGATGGTTAAATCCTTCAGTTTCTTTTCCTTCTGACGCAGAATCTTGGCATTGGCCTGATGTTCTCTACACAATATGACACGGTGTCATTACCTTAACATTTAATAGTCATGCATCTCACTGTGTTTTAGTACAATTTACTTTCCATGTGTCCCATTGTTATACTGGTTAAATGTGAGCTGGGATTCAAATGTGCTTTAACTCCATTTCCCACCATGCACTAGTACCTGTTTTTGATCTCCAGCTGCTTTTCAACCTCTCTCAGCTTGGCCTCCAGAGCAGCGATTGAGCATTTGAGTTTGGAGCGGCCCTGGCCCTCGGTCTCTTGGAGTTTGGCCCTCAGCTCCCGGTTTTGCCGTTCCAGCTGCTGCTTGGATCCCTCCCTGCTCTGAGAGGAGGCTTTCTCTGCTGCCAGCTCTGAACCCAGGTGCTCCACCTGAACGGCAGCAGTCAGAAAAACAAGGGAAAACAAAACATCTCACATTTGAATCACACTAGCTGCAGTTTAGCTTGTTACATTTATCATGTTATGTATGTATGTATGGATTCAGGTAATAAATCCCACTTATGGTTAGTCCTCTCTACACCCACCAGCTGCTGGCTCTTCCTCAACTGGTCATTGAGGGTCTCCACATTGGACTGTTCCTCTTCCAGCTCCTCTTCCAACTGGCTGATCTTAGTTTCCAGATGACGCTTTTCATGAGACAGCATTGACCTTAACAGAGGATGGAGAAATGAAATTAAGCTAGTTCTAAAAGGTTAATACAAAAGACATTCACATTGTTGAGCCCTTCTTAGTCCCTGTTTTAGAGGCTTTTCTACCTTACAATACTGAAGGGAGAAGATATTGGAAAATAGTTGTCTACACACATTTTCAAAAAATTTTGAATCAAAAAATTCTGATTTGCCCTCGCTACTTCCTATTAGTGTCAGTAAATGTTCAGTTGAGCATAATAAACAGATGAAAATCTAAAATCTCATAAAATTCATGGGATAAAGCATCAGATTATCTACTGGATGCAGATGTAGCTTCCATTAATATTTCAGGATGATTCCCATAAGTTATGTTGATGCACTGTCCTATAGTGCCAGCATCGGGCATCTTCCTCATGGCCCAATTTTTTGCATGGCATTCTAAAAACTAATGGGCAGAAATGCAGGGAAATTGCTAAGGTTAAAATCACGACTACTGTTTTGCACACTTAATTGAGATCATCTTCCACCCACTGATAGATCTCCCTCCCAGATTACTTTTTGTTTCATAAAAGTTACAGAAGCTCATTTTTTTGATGTTTTATTTGCCACTGAAGATAAATGTGACCACATAAAATGCATATATTTCACAAGACACCTACTTTCCAGAGGAGTTACTGCCCAGTTCCTCAGACAGCTCATCCCTCTCTTTTGCCGCCTGCTTACGAGCTCTCTCAGCCGCTGCCAACATCTGGACAAACCCAGGAAGGTGATTATGATTATAAGATGAACACAATCTAAGGTGCCATTAAGCAGACAAAGAATGACAATTTCCTGATACTTCTGTGATATACTGTATTTTTCTTAATGTCAGTAAATCCCATAAAAAGGCCAAAACCAATACTAAATGTATCCTACTAACAAGTATTATGTTCATGTTAAAGCCTGATATAGGGTGTTCCTTTGTACCATAGCATAGATACATCAAATGATGGGGAACAACAAGCTTTTATGCTGAAGAACCCAGATGCACTACTTGACCTCACCTCGTGCAACTGGATGATCTCAGCCTCCATGGCCTTGGATCTGTGCTCAGACTCTCTGGCTGAGGCAAGGACCTCCTTTTGGGCTATGCAAGAGCCCTCCATCTCCATCTGGAGGTCCTTCATCTGGCCCTGTGAGGATAGCAGAAGGGGGCAAACCAGGTTTCAAATGGTTTTCAAAACACACCAGACCCTGACTACATACTAACTACAGTTAACTACAGTAGTATGTTAACTGAGTAACTGCTCAGAGAAGAATTTAAAAAATGACCAGAATCACTGTCATATATGAAAATGATTATTGGTATACAAATACATCAGTCCAGCTTTGATTTTGTATCACATTTAAAGATACTGAATGTTAGGGGAAAAAAATGTGCGTCCTGACCTGGATCTTGCGGTGCTGCTTGACCGCCTCATCACGCCCCCTGCTGGTGGTTTCTAGTTGATCCTCCATGTCCTTCAGCTCCCCTTCCAGCTTCTTCTTCCCAGCAGACACCTGAGCTCGCTGCTTCCTCTCCTCCTCCAGCTCTGACTCCAGCTCACGCACCTGACAGGAAGAGAGGAGATTTTTGGAGTCACTGGGAAACAAATGTCACCTCCTGTAGCATGATTATGTCTTAGATAAATTGAGAACAGCAGCAGTAGTTGTTCTCCACCTGTCTGAGGAGTTGCTTCCTTTTCTCCTCGCCCATCTCATCACGGGACTGCAGCTCCCTCTCATGCTGAGCTCTCAGGGCCTGAGTGTTGACCTCCAGACGCAGTTTGGCATCCTCAGCAACCTGGAGTTCATCCTCCAGCTCCTCCATCTGGGTCCTCATCTCCTCCATGATGGCCTCCAAACCACGCTTTGCCTTTTCAAGGTCATGGACCTGACAGAAAATAGAAAGGACGTAAGATCAGAATTAATATCAGATTCTCTAATAATGTAAAATACTTCATTCATGTTCAGCTTACGCTCTTTCCCACGTCATCCTTGGAGCTGATGAGATCCTCCATCTCAGCTCGGAGGACCTTCATGGTCTTCTCTGCCTCCTCCAGAGCCTCCTGGTTCTCTTCCAGTGCTCTGGCCAGAGCTAACACACGAGTCTCCTTCTCTCTCGCCTCCGCCTCTGCCCGATCCCGCTCCTCTGCAAACTTACAGGACACAGCTCGTTCTTCTGCCAACATCTGACATACATGAACACAGAAGATTTCAGGTAAAGGTAAAAGAAGTGTTAGGTATTTTTAGTCAGATAGATACTGGATAGATACTTTATGTATTAGAAATGTTTAGTGGAGATAGGATGTCTAGTTAGACTGTTAAATGCTTAGTCATGCTTATGAGTTTCTACAGGGTACATCTGGTCAAGGATAACTAGAGAGAAGAGTTGATGACTGTCAGCAGACAGGGTGTTTAATATTATTATTATGATGTGTATAACTGTAGCCTTAGCCATAATATGATCTTATGTTTAATATCACGACATGTTACTAGAGGTCGTGTGAGAATGTTTTTAGCTACACACCACTTAACCAACACATTCACACGTTGATTTGCTTCATGTTTTGACTACTGCTATGGCCAGCTGCAAAGCTGGCAACAGAGACGTCTCGGTTGACGTTTCTGTGTAGTATGGGGCTAGCCCAACCGAGGGGATATAATGTATAGGCCTGGTGGGTTCAGGTTCTTTCATCTTACATCTGCCTGCGAACAGTTTGGAGGTGCAAGATGCCTGAGCGTGTAATGTTAATTTTAACCCGTGTTCATGGAATAAATCAGCACTGTTTTGTAGTTATTTGGACTGTCTCGTCTCTCAGAGTCAGTATGGTAAAAAGTACAGGGTACAACAGAAGCAAAAAATAAAGGAAGTTCAACACACAACCTGCTCTATTCTATAACACTCTGTAGTGGTGGGAAGGATTTAGACTATTCAGGCTCACAATTTTCCAAGTCTGTCTTAAAACAATAACGATGTGTTTACTGTACCACTGAAACCGTTTTGCTTACTGTAATCAAACAAAATGAAGCATCTTCAGTAACAGTCAGACCTGATCAAACTTTTTCTGCTTCCTCTCCAGGTTGGAGACGAGCTGCTGCTTATTGTCCAGGTCCATGAGGACGTCCTCCAGCTCCTGCTGCAGCCGGAATCGACTCTTCTCCAACTTATCATAAGCTGAGGCCTTCTCCTCATACTCGCCATTAGCCACCTCTAGATCACGCTGCAGACGCTTCTTTGCTTCTTCCAGCAGCTCCACCATCCCCGACATTTCATCTAGTTTCTTCTTGTAGTCAGACAGCTGACAGAAGGTGGAAGAGAGAGTTTAAGTGAACGGTCATTTAGTTAGTCATAGTGATCTAAACAACACCACTCTCTTGGTGTAAAGTGTGAAGTTAGTGACCTGCACATTGAGGCCAGAGACCTGCCTCTCCACGGCCCTTTTGGCCTCAGTCTCCTCCTCCAGCTGCTCCATCAGGCTGTTCCTGTCTTCCTCCATCTGACGCAGACTTCCAGAAAGATTCAGCTTTTGACGGGTCTCCTCTGACAGCAGCTCCTAAAGGAGAAGGAGAACAATGAGAATGTAGAACTCTGAAGTGTTTACTACTTTGATTGCAGAGGTGCTTGAAATCTTTCCCATGCATGGACAAAACTTAATCTGGATGGAGATCCACGGGCCAGGATTATATTTTATACAAAATTAAATGTCAAAATAATAAAAATGTTACTCCAGTTAGCTTAACTAATTTTATTCATTTGCAAAGACAGTTGTCAAAAATACAAAACATCCATATACTTCATTTTGGGAGAAGAAACATTTAAAAGGAAAGTACAAATGAAGGTTCTGTAGGAAATTAAGCCAAAAACAGCTGTGTGGAACAACTACATATAATTCACAGGTGTATATATGTTGTGTCCTCACCTGTGTGTCCTGGAGCTGAGAGGACAGGGTGGTGACATCTTTACTCAGCTTGGTGTTCTTACCTTCCGCCTCATTCAACAGACCCATCACACTGTCCAGCTCCATCTGGCAGAGAGCAAGAGAAAACAGGAGTGAGAGACTGAAAGAAAGAGAGAGAGGTGGAAGAATATTTGAAATGAACGATAATCCAGAGTATGTAGTTTTGGCCACCGTGTAATAGTTAAGTCATTACTGCCTTAACATATTGAATGCAACAAAGATGGATGCTTTTTAAGACTTTACTGAAACATTCTTTACTAATTTTCTGTAGATTTAGTTTTCAGGTGGTTAGGGTTTAACATTCAGTGTTGTTGGGGCCGTTTTCCCCTTATATACAGTAGATACAAATTGCATGTGATATAGGCAGTCAGGTGGCTCAGCATTTGTTTATTCATACTTGACTCACAGTGATCTTGGAGACCCGCTCCGCCAGCTCAGTCCTCTGCCTTTCACTGTCATTGAAGCGTGAGTGGAGGTCATTCAGCTGACCCTCCACCTTCTTCTTCTTGTGCTCCACGTCCTGTTTGGCACTGGTGAGGCATTGCAAGTCAGCGTTCAGGTCTGCTGCCTCCTTCTCCAGAGCCTGCTTAGTTTTCTCCAGACCAGCTCTCACCTGAATGGAGAGGAAGCAATGCTGAGTGAATAAGAGTCAACCTCTTTACTTGTATTATATTTTTAAAGTTCAAGTGCACTGGTCACAACAAAGCATGCATAAAGCAGTAATGTTTTCTTTGCCAATTTTCATGTTCATCTCACATCATTCTTTATCATTATTGAACAATTTCTTTAGGTCACACCTTGTTGTGTGTGTAGGTGTGTGTACATACTCTTTTGGCCTGCTCCAGCTGCTCAGTGAGCTCCTCCACAACCTGGCTGTGTTTCTGTCTCAGGTCCTGGATTTGGGCCTCATGGCGCCGTCCCTCCTCCTCCATAGCTTTCTTCAACATGACCACCTCCTGCTCACGCTTCACCCTGCAAAATACAATAACACCACACAGATCTACTTACATCAGCTTTTTTATGCAGACAACACTGTTATTTACTGTTCTGTACCACCTTGTGTCATTTAGCTTCTGCTTTTAACACTGTTCAGTGCAAACTAAACTATTTCAAATTGGTTCTAAATGCTTAAAAAAGAAAAAAAAAAGTTTATAAATTAGAATGTGTATATCAATCTGCATATGTAGGTTATATCAGATCAGACCGTAGCTCCTGCTGGGCAGCAGTGGTGTCCAGGCTGTCCTCCAGCTCAGATCGCAGAGCGTTAAGCTCCTCCCCAAGGTCCCGTCGAGCAGCCTCAGCCTTCCCCCTCGCTGCCCTGTCAGCCTCCAGGTCCTCCTGCAGCTCTGAGAGCAGAGCCTCCAACTCCCGAACTCGCTTGACTGCTGCTCCACGCTGACTACTCTCCTCCTCCAAGCTGTGACACATGGAAGGTGGGGAATTGTTAGGACAAGAGTTTTACCTCTGAATCTGGGGCTTGAAGGCTAATTTTTAAAATCAGGAGTTAGCGTTAAATGTCTCTGAGAACCAGATGGCTTCAGTCACATCAATTTTCAGTGTGGTCTTTGGGCACCGAGGTCATTATTTGGTTATTTTTTCTAGGAAAAAAATGGGGAATCTAGTAACCTTGATGAAACCTATGTGCCGTTACTGCTTCCATTATTTTTAGATACAGCATTTTTTTCACCAGAATTTTATTCTTGGCAGTGTGGCAAAGGGCTGTTTTACAGCTTTTATGACTATCTTAACATTTTCCTGGACAGTTATCTTTATTCCCTAAATTCTGATCATGAATTAGTTATTGTTGGTTCTGTCCAACACTGTGTTGTATCATGAGGTGGGGTCTCTCTTACTGAGCCTGGGTGGCCTGGAGCTCCTCTTCCTTGGCAGCTAGCTGGGCTTGGAGCTCAGCCAGTTGGGCCTGCAGGTCGGTGTGCTGCTCCTGGAGGTCAGTCAGCTCTGCCTCCACTTTCCTCTTGGCCTTCTCTGTGTCCTGACGACCCTTCTCCTCCTTCTTCAGACGCACTGCGCAGACCAGACAAATGAAAGTAGTGAACAAACTTCTCCAGAAATAATTATGGGAAATCAAATCATCAAACCCAAAGTGTGGAGTCCTGCTAATTCTAGCAACCTTTTCATCACATTAAATCAGTGCACTTAAGAACTTATTAGAAATACACTATTTGACATTCTGGCAGATAAATTTGAGTTTCAATCTTTGTATTTTTATAGCAATCTTTTAACTCTGTTGGCTAAAATTCATCCAAGTCTTTATTTTAAAGAGGACCAGAGCTTCTAACCTTTTTTCTTTACAACTTAGGATGTATATGTTGTTTGTACTTATTCTATGGTTCACTGTCTTTTACATTTTCAATATTTCCAAAAAAGGAGAGAAAATAGCTTCTGTTTTAATTTTAAAAAATTGTTTCTGAATTTTCAGTTTATGATTTATTAAACCATGGTCACAAAATTATTAGCTGCCTTATTCTATTTATCCAAACAGAGGTGAGCAGAAGAGACAGACTGAAACATCTTGTGACTGACTCTCCAGGTCAGACATCATGGACTCGTATTTGTTCTTGAGTTTGGTCAGATTCTTGGACTTCTCCTCCTCCTCGGCCAGGTTAGAGCTCATATCAGCCATCTTTTCCTCTAGAAGCTTTCGTTCCTAGAAACCGAGACAGGAGAGTACACGATTATATTACATGCTGTGAGTGAAACGTGTAGGCTACACCATATAAAGGTGCTCAATCACACCTTCTGCAGTTTGTTATTCTGGTCTTTCATGAGCAAGATGTCCTCCTCCGCTTTCTTCACCTTCCCCTCCATAGCCACTTTCTCCAGATGCAGCTTCTGTCGAGCATCTTCTTCCTGGGCTATGCGGGCCTCCATGAGCTGCATGACAGCAGCATGGATGTAGTTAAATAGAGGCCAGAAGGTAAAAAATGAAAAGGAAGAAAAAATCTGTTATGACCATTGTAATGATATTTTTAATGTACACTTTGCTTAATTTCAGAAAACCACAGTTATTAAGATGATGATGGTGTAAGTGGTTGTCATAAAGACAGTAGTTGTTACTGTTTTTTGTGCATGTTTTATTTTATCTTTAAATCTGTCATCTTCTTTAAGCCACACAAAATTTTATGCAAAAAGTGATGTATAAAACATTTACAGACTAAAATAAAACTAGTAGACCTGAAACAATTAGTTAAATAATCATGTAATCAACAGAGAAGTTTGATAATGAAATAATTGTTAGTCATTTTCAAACAATGATGCCCAAAGGTCACTGGTTTCAGCTTCTCTAATTTGAGGATTTGCTGTGTTTCTCAGACATTTTTCACTATATTCTCATATTCTATACACCGAACAATTAATTTGTAAAACCAATTTATTAAATAATAAAAATAGTTGTTATAATAATACTGTGTCCACCTGTAGCTGCTGCTCTATGTCCTTCTTCTCCTGTTGCAGGGCGCTGCTGCGTTCCTCCTCCTCCTCCAGCCGGGCCTCCATCTCATGCAGCACCTCCTCCAGCTCCTTCTTCTTGGCCTCCAGTCGCACCCTCATCTCTTCGGCTTCAATGTACAGCTCAGTCTCTGCCTGAAACTTTGATTCCAGGTGGGATCGCTCCTCCAGCAGCTACAAATAAAGACTTCAATCATTTCTGAAGATGTACTTTTTTAAAGGTAGAAAAGAAGCCACAAACTTTATTTCACCTGGTTGTGTTTCTGGGTGATGTTTTTCAGTTCGGCCTCAGCCTTGGCTGCCACCTCTCTCGCCGCCTTTAGCTCCTCCTCCTTCTGACCCATTTCCTCTTCTTGTCTGGTTACCTGCAGCAGGGGCTTCACCTGATCCATGGACACATCACACATTCTTTCAGTACTGGTTTCTTGTGAATATACAGTACATGCTATCATTTATGGATAATGTTTTGCTCTGAAAGTCTCACATGACTTCAGTTTTGTGAATCTTAGATCCACTAGCAAAATAAAAATTTTCCTTGATAATAGCACCAAAGAAAAATGTCATAAATCAAGTGGGAATCTCTCATTTTAGGACATATCAGACTGTTTTTGTCAGGTTCAGCTCTGCACTGTTAGATCAAGTTCACAGAATAATCTTTAATAATTATTAGTTGCAGTTTTAATGTAATCTTTTGTATGAAGCATGATGAATAATTATAAAAACCTGTAAATTTATATATGTGAACACTGATAAGTGCCAGTGTTTGCGTGTGTGTGTGTGTAAAACCTTAGTGAAGAGCTTCCACCACTGCCAGTTCTTGAGTTTGAGGTAACAGGCGCAGTTCCTCTGGATTACCTTCACAGCACTCAGCTGCTGCTGACGTTTACTAAATGCCCTGAAAACACACACACAAGAATCAGATGTACGCTTGTGTGTAACTTAACTATGTGCAGTAATAGATGTTAAGACACTATTACTTGGTTCAAATGTCTAGTTCTCATACTTGCGGGCCAGGAAGCCTCTTGCTTGTCCCTGGAAGGCGATGATGATAACAGTCAGTTTGATGTCTCGCTCCTCTTCCAGCTGGGCCAAAACTCCTGTCCTGAAGAACATCTTGCTCTGACCAATGCGATACAGGTTAGGATCCAGATCCAGGTGCTTTACCTGGGGGAGAGGAGCGGGATTAGGAGTTTAAAGGGATCAAACTATGAACAATATCCCAGAACCCTCTGCTTCTAACAACTCCAATGTTGATAATAATCATGTTTATGTTTCACCAACAGTGTTATATGTTATACACAAGAGTTCATCCAGCTCACCATCAGGCAACATGCCTGTTTCCCATCCATGAAGCCTTTAGGAATAGCACTGGCAGCCAAGACCTCATATCTACAAACAAGAAGACAACAATCACTTTGACACAATGTTTTATCCTCCTTCGATAGTCAGTGGTGAACAGAACGATTAAAAACTGCCATTTCACCCAAAGTTTGGTATGGAATTGTGTCTTCTCCTGACACTTCTCCAGCATCACTACAGTGGCAGCGCTGGAGGAGGTGACAGTTGACCTGAGTGTAAAATCAGTGTTCACTGCCATTCAGTGGTTATACTGAAGATCTGCAATACTACTTTTAAAATAGGGGTAGTGTAATGGCACTGTCTGTAATATTCAATCCACTACAAAGTATATTCACAATAGACCCAGACAGCTCCCTCACCTCTGCCTGAACTCCTGGAACACGATGCGATTTGGAAATCCCTGCCTGCAGATTCGGATTCCCTCCAGCACCCCGTTGCACCTCAACTGCTCCAGCACCAGGTGGGCGTCCATCTTACCAGCCTGCAGTACAGCAGCCAACCAAAAAACACTGACTCTATGTACAGACAGTGTCTTCTCTGTAGACTGTAGCTTAGCCTAAATAAAATAACCTACTCTCTTCTCGTGGTTGGGGATGATGCAGCGGACAAAGTTGGGCTGGGTGTTGTGCAGCGTGGTCATCAGTTTGCCCAGACTCTCCTTGTAAAGCTGACCCACTGTACGGAACATGCCCTTCTTGGATTTAGTGGAGCTGGGAACTGAACTCTCTGACATCTTGGTCATGGTCTCCAGACCCACCACTCGATCCACTGACCAGGGAAAAAACAAATACCACATTTTATTATCACGTCTACAAATCTAAGGGGAAACTTTTGGCTGAAGCCTGGTAATTGTAGAAATATTGCCCCCTCTCGAAGAACTGACCGTCTTTCCACAGGTCCTGGATGAAGATGCTGGAGGAGTTGTTGAGCAGAGCAGTCACATTGTCGTTCAGCGGGTCCATGTTCTTTGTCAACCAATCAGCAGCATTGTAGTCGACCTAAAAATGTAAAAGGAAGTCATGCTTGTCAGTGGTTATAATCACTAAAAACTGAGCAAAACATTTAAAGGGAAAGGCTGGTGATGTTAAAATGCTGTTGTGTCATCAAATCCCATGTTAGTCCATCTCCCAATACTGACTGTGGTTCTTAGATCCAAACCCATCGGCTCTGACTGAAAGTATACAGTAAGTAAGTAATTATTAACAGCTCTCAAATATGTAGTTTCATGTTTTAAAATGGTTCAGTAATACCCTAAGACAGCTGGACACTAGTTTTTAATCAAACAAACAGGAGAATATACTGCATTTTTTTTACTGTTTTCAGTTGTGGATTAATCCACGTTTGGTGCTCTAGTGAGGATTTTCAGCAGCTGTGGACAACAATAAAGCCCTATAGCACAGAGGAATAAGATAGAATGTGTCAGGCTTTGGATACACACACACAATACTCATTAGTAGGATACATTCATTGGTAGTTCTGGTGTTTTCATGAGATTTTTTTGACAGTAATAAAACCTAGAATATCACTGTCCTTGTCATTTAAACTCAGTTTGTATCATTTCCATTAATATACAGTTACAGTGATTACTGTGTCATTCCTATAGTCCTCAGTGATCCTCACCTTACCAGCATAGTGCAGAATGCTAAACATCAGTTTATGTTTGTGTTGTTTAGGTTTGGAGAATTTAACATGACTGGCATGGGCATTCATCAGCTTTTCCACAAAGGAAACATCAGTGGCTTTTGGGAACCAGCACTCCTCATCCAGCAGGGCCAGGATGCCTGGAGGGTTGTTCTACAGGACAAAAGGACACAGGAACTCCATCTGAGATCACACATTTCTACACTGTAGTTTACTTGTAAGTTTTGGAGAGCAACATGTACCATAGTCTGTGACCTGCTGCCCGTACCGGCACCGCTAGGGTGCAGAGGATTCATTTGTTACTCTCCCTTCTTTGTTGGTATTTTCCTTCTTTAAATGACTAAGGGAGCAATTAATTCCACTGTACTATGCAGAAATTTCACTTTGCAGTCAGACCACTAATGCTATTCCTTTGATAAATCAATCAAGTTTATTCTGTTAAACTGTTACTCTATTATGTCATGCAAGTGGGGCTGCAGCCCGTCCTGACCGGCCTCTCAATGAGCTCGATGCAGGGCTGCAGGTCGAGGCCAAAGTCGATGAAGTTCCATTCGATGCCTTCCCTTTTGTACTCCTCCTGCTCCAGGACGAACATGGTGTGGTTGAAGAGCTGCTGGAGACGTTCGTTGGTGTAGTTGATGCAGAGCTGCTCGAACGAGTTGTCCTGAGGAGGAGATCAAATCAGTGATTCGAGAACTTTAAAATGAAAGATACAAAAACTAAAACACCCAAATATTTCAATGTTTGGCTTAAGTATGTCTTCACCTCAAATATTTCAAAGCCAGCAATGTCCAGGATGCCCAGAAAGGAGGATGACTGCCTCTTACTCTTGTCCAGGGTCTTGTTGACTCTCATCAGGATCCAGCAAAACAGACGCTCGTACATGGCCTTGGCCAAAGCCTCAACTGCAAAATCAGCCTGAGGGGGGAGGTGAAGAAAGTCAAAGATCTTTGTTGTGATTAATTTTGGAATGATTTTATATCTCTGGAAAGTGGTGCAACAGAAGGGATCTATGTCATACTGAAAAGCAATTCTTTAGGCTCAGAAGTGGAAAGTAAGTAGATTTACTTGACTGCAACTCTGAGGCTTTTTCAATTTAAAGAGCCGCTGTTTTCTCAGTTTAGCTATTGAGGTTTGGTTTTCTGTTACCTGCTGCTTGGTTTGAGCCTTCTGCACCACCTCTCTGCCTACTTTGATTCGAGGGGTAAGGATTGCACGGGTGAAGTCGGTCACATTGACACCCTGCAGGTGGCACACCTTCTGGGCCACTGGGGTTGATGGGTAAGGTCACAGAAGCAGAAGAAGTCAGAGAAGTTGAGAAGTTCATTTACAGGATGGTGATGGCATTTTTAAATGATTACCGGTGTTGTCAGGCATCGTTGCCTGCTCACTGTTCCTCTCTTTTTCAAACTTGATGTTGCCCAGCTGGAGCACAGTTGACACCACCTTCAGCATCCCTGCAGAGATGAAAAAAGAAAACAACAAAGATGAAGACAAATATTTTGCTGGGTCCAAAGAGTAAAGAAATTCTGGATCTGTGGTGACAAAACAATTTGGCCAGGGTTTAGGCAGCTTTTCTTTGTCCTCAACAAGATCAAGATCAGATCAAATTTTCTGTCCTGATTCATAGAGGGAGAACAAATGTCTCAGAACATCGCTGTTGTTGATATTTAACCCTAATACTGAGGCTGGAAAATGGTTTGACAGATGGACAGTATACCTATATGGGCAGAGCACAGTGGGTTAAACTAAACAAACGGTCTATGTATGATTGTAGAGCATGTACCTAATCTCTCCTCTTCAGTGAAGCCCATGATCTCCATAGCCTCCAGAGTCTCATCAAACATCTCATCATCCTGCTGACCGGGAATCTCCACACGACCAGCCACCAGGAAATGATAGCTACTGAAGTCCTCTAGCAGCAGCTCCTCTACACACACAGTGAAACTTTGGTTACACTTAATGAAACAAGGTCTGAAAATAGATACAGACTACTAGCTTAGTGCCATCATGCAAGAACAAGTACACTGTCCAACAACTCCAAAGTTGACTTTCCACTGTATATATAGCAGCAGGTAGCACCAGTGCCATTTGGTGACCAACAAATGGTGGTTGCAGTGACTACACACCACCTCAAACATCCTGTCCTCATACTGCAGCTGCCAGCTTTAATATCTGTCCTTATTCTGTCAGCTAAACCCAGCTGACTACACAATGGACAGCTGACTAGCTTGTTAGCTAAGAAAATAACGTAGCCAGGCTCTCCTTGCTTCTGGCCTTTGGGCTGACCTGCACTAAACAGGCACTGGACCTAACTGTGCTGGACACAGAGAGAACAAACTGACATCTGTTTCTCAGCTGAGTCTGACCAAGTCACCTAAGGAGAAATATAATGAAGAAATACTCTCAGTTGCCAGTTTATTGTGTACCTGTACACCTAGCTACAACTAATGCAGTCGAATACAATAGTACTACTGTATAATAACCCTCCCTCCATGAAGGTGATACCTCTTTGATATAAATAGGATGGACAAAATATAAGAAACATTTCTCAGTATATTGCAACGCAATTCAACAACACCACAAACTACCCTAACAGTTTCATAAAATTCAAACACCTTTCTAAACCACTTTTAACAAAAAAGTGAACATGATATGAAGGGAGGATTTATTAGGGGACAGTATTAGACTATTTCAGCTCATGTATATCTAATAAACTGGCAACTGCATATGGTCCCTCTGAGGAGATTGCATTGAAGAGCTTTTGCTGATTATAATTGCTCACCCCTCATCTTGTCTTTGGCTCCTGCCACCATGTAATAGAAGATGTGAAAGGCTCTCTCAGTGTTGGCCTGACGAATACAGCGAGACTTTTCCAGCAGGTCTGATCAGGTCAGGAGGTTAAGTCAGTGAATGCAATATTAGTAGTTCAGTCTATATTTCCAAATTATTTTCAAAACTTGACAAAGGATTTAATTGATGTTTTACATCTTAAAAAAAGGATACAGGTGTCAATGTTTGCTCCAACAATATAGCCAGTCACATCAAAGTTGAGCTTGATGAACTTTCCCTGTGGACAAATGTAGCAACAACAGGTACATGTCACCAGTAGTCACTGTGCAAACTAAACTGTGAGAAACAATGGTTGCCATCTTACGAACAGATTGAAACCCTTACAAATCGTGAGGAGTTGTCGTTCTTGATGGTTTTGGCATTTCCGAAGGCCTCCAGGATGGGATTAGCTTGCAACAGCTGCTTCTCCAGCTCCCCCTGCAGCACGCAGTGACATTACTGTTTATATGAGGATGTAAGCGTGGATGTAACATACATGCATACTGTTAAATAGAATGCTGACAAACATTTTTGTCATCACATTCAATTTTGGACATCACTTCAATGACCTATTGTGTAAATGTCTATGTTTGAAATTTTATACTCACATAGGCCAGAGATCCTTGCTGCTGTATCATTGGGGGGGGGATGAACAAAAAAACTGTTGGTTACGGAGCCAGTAAAATTCAGACACTGTGTAGGTATATGAGACTACAGCTTTGTTTCTTAACACAGGTTTGGTTAACTTGTATAGTAATGTCTGAAATTATATGATAGTACTTTAGTTTTAGAGGTTCAGTTTATCCATCCTGAAGCCTAAAGAACATCACTTCAGATAATTTACTGCAAAAATGCATTTCTTACAGTAGCTAGAGATTAGTGCAATAAAACATGTTTGTGGATTGCCTGAAATCTAAAGACATTTCTACTCACAGGGTTGACATCCTTCTTGCCTTTGTGTGATGAGGCGACGACGGCCAGGTACTGAATCACCTTCTTTGTGTTTTCTGTCTTCCCTGCTCCAGACTCTCCTCTGGAGAGCACAAAGGACGGGGGAAAATGAGAGGATACAGGAAAGAAATTAATTTAAAAAAAAAACAGATGGGAGAGAGGAGAAGAAACAGTTGTAAAGGGAGATGGGATGAGAAAAATTACTGTCAGACTGTTTGAAGGCCAGTATACATTTTAACTGAAGCTGTGATTCTGTGACAATATTCAATTTATGTATAGCAATAAAATGGCTAAAACAACTAGGTGATCAATCACGTAGTTGATACCATAACGGTAACATTTCTAGTAATTAATCATTCATTTTTAAGTAGAAAAAAGCCAGGTCTAACTTCCTACACCTGGGTTTCTTGGTCTTTTATGATAGTGAGTATCAGTGGGTTTAAAACTCTTCTCTGGATAAAATTAGTTTTGTGTCAGCGTTGGCTTTGTGATGGGAATATTTTTGGTAAAGTTTTACAGGTCTGTAAATTCCAGTTTATTTCCAGATCATTTCCCAATAGGTTTCCTGGAAAGAACCATGGCATTTGGTACTAAATACAGGTAAAATAGAGGGTAGTCAGTTCCAGTAGACTTCCAGTTACTTCTCAGTGCTAAGTTCACATAAATGTGAGGCTTTTAATCAGAGGACAGAAGGGGAGCTACCCATGCAAAGTGTGACATTTGTCTCAAATTAACCATAAATGAAAAATCACAGTTCAAACTATACAAAAGTTAGTAGTAGATATTAACTGGGGTTTAAACGGAACAATTTCTTTTATGGAATTTCATGTGGAAGGCAGTAATAGCCTCAACACACCTCAGTGGACTAACTAAATAAACAGGCTCCAATCTTTAGTAGGAAATAGTGGCCCATAAAGTGTTACGTTTTTTTCAACAGTTTTGTGATGAGTTGCAGACCACACAAGAAAACTACTGATACATACACATCATAAATGCTTCATAAAGTCATAGTGAGGGAACTCACTCATATTGTGAGACAAATTTAAAGTCCCCACAATGTAATTTATTAAGTTCAGTGAATATTTGGTTTAAGGTCAGCGTAACGGTTGAAGGTAGGCATACTCTAGCTTATAGATGAGGTTAATGTACAGTAAGTCAGTGTCCCCCCTACAGTAAGTGATGGTTTGTGTGTGTGCGCTCATATGCATGTATAGTGTGATGGAAAAAGGTCAAGTATTGTAGGTTTAGACTCACGTGCAGAGAATAGACTGATCCTCACGGTCTGTGGAGAGAGAGGTACAGAGAAGGATATTAAAAGGGGGAAATAACATGAAATGTTGACTGAGCTGAGCTCGTTAGTTGAAGCCAAGCTGAACCAGACCAAACATGAACTCTGAGGCGGTGCTGGCCGCTCTACTTACACACAAGAGCTCTGAGACCTCATTCAGAGAGAGATTAGCCTCCAGTCACTCATATCATCTAAAAATAGCAGGTGGATACAGGACTACATTGCTGTAATCTTGTTATACTGCTTCATGTTTAGCCACTGTGGAGCTGAATGGAAAACCAAGAGTTGGTCTGAGGTCACCGGTGGACCAACCACAGACCAGATGGCACTCTGAGGCTTCAGTCAAGGTTCTTCACTGCCACCAGTAAATATGTGTTTACTGTTTATAAAGTACTGTGACATTATTTTAGAATAAAAAAACCCATCACTGTCTACTTGACCAATCGTGACTGGCCGGAGCATTGCACTATAATATGACTTCCTCCATTTAGCAGTAATAAACTAGCAAAAGCAGTGGTGGAAATTCTCAAGAGCACATATAATAATTTATAAGTATATAATTTACAAGAGAAAATAAAATTTAAACAAAACAAAGCCTGACTTTTTCTTCACAGCTGATAGTTCTCTCATCGGCCTTCTCCCAGTATTGTTTACTGGGTGGATCTCTATATACATGAAGCAGGTTGACTGGTTTGTTTCTGCTCTCACCTGCCTGCTTTTATTTGTCAACAGCTAGTAGTGTACACATACAACATTACCTTGCAACATGTTCCTGTATGCATTGTCAGTGATGGAGTAGATGTGTGGCGGCACCTCGTGACGTTTTTTGCCCTTGTACATCTCGATGATCTTTTCAGAGTAGATTGGCAGCATCTTGTAGGGGTTTACCACCACACAGAACAGACCTGAGTACGTCTGGGGAAGGCATCAGAAATGTTAGGTATCTACAAAAGGGTCTTCCTACATGGTGTGTTAATGTTCTGCTCACATTCTGCCATATTCCTATTGGGCAGTGCATTTATAAAACCTTTCATGCAACTTAACAGGTTCCCTGACCTTTTAACAACAACGGAGAACAAATAAAAATGTACCAGTTTTGATACACTGGTTAATAATTCAACTCTTCTTTGCAGGCAAAAATGTCAAAAATTCCATATCTCTGACTTCCTAATTATCAGCATTTGCTGATTTTTCCCTGTGTTTTATGATAGTAAAATTAATATCTTTGTGATGCGCCCTGCTGCTCAGAGGAAACAAGCAATTTTAAAACATCACCATGGGCTCCAGGGAATTGTGAACAGCATTTTCATTATTTTCCGACATTTTATAAAATAAACCTTAAATACATTAATTCATAAAAAAGCTAATCAGCAGATTAATTGTAATGAAAATGTCGGTTAGATGTGCGTCCATAGAGTAGTTGAGCCAACAGTGTAAAAACCAGCGGCGCAGAGGATAGTGCTGTCACCTCACAGCAAGAAGGCTCAGCCCGGGTCCGAACCCCGGCCGACCTGGGGCCTGTCTGTGTGGAGTTTGCATGTTCTTACTGTCCCTGCATGGGTTCTCTCTGGGTATCCAGCTTCCTCCCACAGTTCAAAGACATGCAGCTTAGGTTGATTGGTGACTCTAAATTCCCTTAGGAGTGAGTGTGGTTGTTTGTCTACATGTCAGCCCTGTGATAGACTGGTGACCTGTCCAGGGTGGACCCTGCCTCTCACCCAATGTCAGCTGGGATTGGCTTCAGCCCCACCGTGACACTATTATAAGCGGTATAGATGATGGATGGATGGGTGGATGGAAATGCCAGAATCAGCTTGTAATTTTGCCCCTTTTTACTTTAACATTGAAAAAAGCAAACCATCATATACAGTATATTTAAATATTAAAGCCATAAATATATATATGACACAAGCCTTTAAACTGAAATACTCTACATCTCAAACTGTAATATTCTACAAAAACATCACATTGCATAAAATTTGAATTGTACAAACCTTACAGCTTGTTATATTTGAAATTTTGATTTAGGCCACTGTTACCTTTTAAACATGTTGACGTCAAATTATGGGACTCAGAATCATCTTCCAGAAGGTAACAGCTCATATTCACACTTCAGTGTATGAGTTTTTTTTTTTTTTTTGGCTGCTCAAACACTGTCTGCTCATATAAGGGCTGGAGGGGCTAGAGTTTGTAACTTCCAGTGATCTTCATGGCAGCATTAGATGCATAAGCTTAGATTTAAATTTTACATCCTGCCCCTTATTAGACATTGTAAGACTGTTTGTTTGGTCCCACATAGGCCTCTGAAGGTTGAGACTTGTTTTAAGGGCTAAGATTTAGATTAGGGTTTGGAGATCAGTGAAGGTCCTCACAAAATAAAGATACAAACGTGTATATGTGTTTCTCACATAGATCAGGCTGGAAAAGTATCTCTCTCGCAGGTTGTGGAGGACAGAGGCTTCATTGAGGAAAGTGAGGGCAGCCATGTCCTCCACCTTACTGAACTTGAGCGGGTTCATCTTCTGGATGTCGTCTTTGGTCACCGTCACCTTCTGACCATTAGAGAGCTCCACCAGCACCTGCAGTCCAAAGCCCACTCCATAATAAGGCTCAGTGTAGCTGTGTTGTCTTTAAAGATCATACCTTTTTACTTGTAGTTCTGTGCTTTGTTATACACTGACAGGCCACTTTATTAGTTACACCTGTACAATAGTATGCAATTCAATGCAACACTTCCTCCTTAACATCTGTTTATGAAGTTCAAAATGTTTCAGATTTTAGTGAAATAGTCTTAAATGTATACATTCAATTGTATGTTTATTATTGAGGTCATAGTTGAAGGTAGTGTTATATACACTATATTCACAGGCGGCTCCATATTTTTGTCTTCTCCAGTTACAGTGCCTTGTGAAAGTATTCGGCCCCCTTGAACTTTGCGACCTTTTGCCACATTTCAGGCTTCAAACATAAAGATATAAAACTGTAATTTTTTGTGAAGAATCAACAACAAGTGGGACACAATCATGAAGTGGAACGAAATTTATTGGATATTTCAAACTTTTTTAACAAATAAAAAACTGAAAAATTGGGCATGCAAAATTATTCAGCCCC